CAATCTCCACTGTATTAAAGAATTTGCAGAATTCGACAATTCTTGGAGTGTTGGATTTTTTACCCCCCACTTTAGTCTGCGGTTCCTCCTGCTGAACACTACATAGAGACATAAGGTCTGGTGGATTAAACCGCTGAGCACAGCAGGGGGCCAGGCATCCCAGACACCCAAAAGTGTATCAGATTATGAAAATTCTTCAGCAGCTGTTTTTGTGTAATACAGTTCAAATCAAAGTAATATGAACTCTCTCTTTTGCAGAATGTACTTTGTTTTTAATTATCTTATTATTTTTTTTGTTTATATCTATGGAATATATAGAAAATTTAATAATAATTTTAAGACAATACTTCTAGAAGAAAATCTTGTTCATCCTTCAAAAGGTTGTATTTGTATTTGTAACTTCAGGTCCCTTACCTTACTAAATCACCCCCTCGTATGTTCGTTGTCAGTGTCTCACACTCTATTTTTCTTAGCTTGTTTTTCAATACTTGAAGAGCATGAAAGTGCAGGCACTATTGTTTCTTACCCAGCACAGAGCAAAGTGAAGTGAGCACCTAACTAAGCGTTCCTTGATATGAATATATGGTATTATCTTGTGCTTGATGTAAAGTAGAATTCAGCAAGAGCTTATGGGTCAGTGCTTATGTCAGCAGGGTAAGTGGGGTCAGTAGGAGCACACAACTCTTCTAATTTCTGGCTATATTGTTTTCTTTTGATAAAGGAAAAACTGAATTAAGGTTTGTAGGGATGAGGTTGCTGGGAGAACTTACGAGGTTCGGAAATAATGCTGCAATCTCTACTTTTTCTGCAAGCTGTTGCTTTTTGTCTGTACAGTCCTTGGAAAGCAGTGAGAACGCAGACACTAACGTCACCTTTCTTCAAGATAATATCTAACTTGGTTGATGACAGTTGTAGTACACAGCGAGGCTCATTTATTAGAGAACGGTCTGTTTAGTTAGGAAGGTGAATACTTACTGAGCTTGATAAGTAAGGTGAAGCGCTGTTCACTTTGGATACCAAATCATGAGCAATAATAAATAAAAGTCAGGATTTTTTTTTGCATTTTATTGGATGGTTGAAGTTAACAGAGCTCCACCTTATCTGCTAAGCTCAATGAAAATTCAGGGGGATATTTACATATACTGGAGCACACAGAGTCTGTTCAGCTGTGCATAGTAATCAATCGGATTCTAACTTCAGCTTGTTCTATTACGCTTGAAGCTGATTGGTTACCATGCACAGCTGCACCAGATTCTGTGTGCTCCAGATTTAGTACATTTCCCCATGTTTTCAAAGTAAATAGTCTGTTACAGTTTGGCCTAAAACAGTCCTGGATTCCATCTACTCCTGTAATCAAACAGGTTATCTGTATTTAACTATATTTCTCAGTAATAATGCTACAACCACAAATTAGCATGGCAGATAGACATGAAATTATAGCCTGTAAATACACAAAGAGTATAAACAGAAATATTGACTGTCTGACAGTAGAATATAATCAGTATATAGTGAGTTTATTAGCTACTGTTTAAGATATTGAATGTTTTTTTAACTAAAACATTTCAATGAAGATATCTCTTTAAACTTGTTAGAATTAGACCAAGAAATGTTATCTAAACCATTTCATTCATCATTTAATATAGATAACAGTAACTAAAATATAAAATGGTAGAGCTGTAAAAATATTACTTAGCCCCACATACTATAAAACCTTTTATCCCTAAATTATGTTCATTATGTTGTAGATATAATATATAAATGGGTACTTCTACACACATTTGGCTGTACGTCTTCAAAAATGTAAAAATAAATTATTAAAGGAACCCCTATAACAACTGAAATTTCAATTAATCTGGAATTAAAGCGGTAGTAAACTGCATCCAAAAAAGAAAATCCCCTGCAAGGTAAAGGCATAATGTGCTAGTATGTAATATGTACCTTAAAACGAAGCAGCACGCTGACAGGGCTTCCATCTTCACCCAGTTCTTCTTCCAGGTTGTGGGCTCTGGCAGCTTGAATGGCAGGGCCGCAATGATGTCATTCCAACACATGCACATGGGAGTCTCAGGACCCAGCACAGGGCTTTGAAGGGATGGCACGGGTATGTCATTCCTTCAAAGCACATGTGCAGGCTCTAAAAACAAAAATTAATATCTACTAAACAGTGCATGCTTAGGAGATATTCATTTTACCTACAGGTAAGCTTTATTATACGCTTACCTGTAGGTAAAAATTAACAAAGTTACTACTACTTTAACCTAGAACAATCCTACTGCAAACATTTTAGATCACCATACATGTTACAATGTAATTGTACAATCTCCTATGGATCTGTCAACAACTATGTAGTGCAAGGGCCTGCCTGATTGGATAAAGATTGATTGGGTAGGTTTTCATATCACACAGATTTTTTAAATTTAGGCCTTGTTCACACCATATGTGCAGAAAAACTGATGGAAACTGACACGCAGACTTAACTTGCAGAGACATCAGTTTACATCAGTTTTCATGTGCACTACAATGAGTTTTATACACGGTGCAGATTCCTGCGCAGAACATAATCTGCTTGTGATATTAGTGTTGTGGTGTGAACAAGGCACGTAAAGAACAATTGTTTTCTTTGTGTCCTTGAAAAACGCATGCAGAAAACCTGACGTCTCTGCACCATGGTTTGAGCAAGCCCTAAAAACTGATTGTATAGCCATATAATAATGTGTATGGTGACCCGTATACTGTTACACCTTTCTACTCTACAGCTAAACCTTTTCCCAGACAACAGAAATCTAGTCATATTACCATATTTTTTTGAATGATTTAGAGAAACAAGCTGCTTGACCATAGAGAGAAAGCAGTACTGACTATCTGCAGGAGAACTGCAGAAACAATAATATTATCTGACAAGCCTGGATATATTTAAACATATATATTTTGCTCTCTAATTCTTAATACAAAATTACACATTATTTTCTATATAAATGAATTTCAGCTTTTAACACTTGGCCTACATTTGGGAAATGCTATAATAATATTGTTTGATTGTCAACTAAAACCTATGTTGTTTTCTACTTTTGTATATTGCTTTTTTTGGTGTGATTTGTAAATTCCTTTTATTATAATAACTTATTAAATGCCAAATAAAAATGAATGAAAATAAAAAATAAATTATATATATCACTTAGGTTACCTTTTTTCTTGCTTTTATATTTGTAACTATGCACCAAGTGTCACTAATCTTTTCCATCAGGTAGTTGCTTGAAAATGAGAGAAAATATGTTTTGGTTGATTGATTAAAAGAAGTTAGGAATTTTCCTGGGATAAATTGTGTAAATATTCACTTAAATTATCAAATTATGTGCAGATGAATTAAGTAAACATTTAGGTATTTTTAACACAATTTATTGTCTAAAGATTCTCAACGCTTTTAGTAATTAAGCCCAGGTTTTTTTCTAACAAGTCCTGTTCACACCAATGTGTTGTGAAAAGTCCTGTGCACTGCATTTTTGGAGTATTGACCAGTAATTTACCATTTCAGTCACCAGAATAAATTCCTTAAACAACAAAACAATCTTTAATGAATGTCAGTTCACCGTATTGCTACACAAATTGCCACTGACATTTTGCTGTGAACGGATGGGTACACCATAGGAAGCCTGTAGTCTAAAGCTAGGTAAGATAGCACAGAACAGCCATAAAATGTGGAACTGATTTTTTTTTTCCGTTTTATATAACTATTAATATGTTTTATTACTTGGAGCCTTTTTTTAATTATTATTATACAGGATTTATATAGCACCTACAGCTTGCACGGGACTTAACAACATAACAGCAGACAGTAGTACAGTTATAATATAATTCAATACAAGAGGAATCATAGGGCCCAGTTTACATATATATATATATATATATATATATATATATATATATATATAAAATACACACACACAAACAGTGTCACTAAAACAAATCTATACCGATAACCATTAACTATACAGCAGACAACAAAAAAAAACAGCATGAAAAATGTCACTGTCGTATTAAAGTATAAAATCCAAAAAAAATGGCAAAACAAAAGCACAGCTTTCTGATGAAGCAGTTCACTGACAATACACATCCAGCATTCATTGGCCAGCCCTGCCTTTGACTTTTCATGTAGTCTAGGTGTAGATAGGCTGTCTATCTCAATAATAGTTTGAAATGTTGAGGGGTATGTTTTGTACTTTTGTATTGTCATTTTTTTTAATTTGTTTTCTTGGATTTTATATGTTTAGAAAACAGAGCCATTTTCATAATTCTTTCATTATTGTTTATTACATGGTTAGGAGTACAGATTTGTTTTTAGGGACTTCTCTAGTTTTTGTATGTATATAACTATTTATATGTTGTCGTGAAGAGCAAAAAAAGGTACATACAGTAGGTTTGTGTTTCTATGGTGAGCATAGACATCTATCGCCATTAAAAATATCTGCAAAGCTAATCATTAAATTTGGTTTTGTGTTTTGTGTTATCTCTCTAGGATAACATAGACATGAGACAGTGCCTGCCAGACTCAAAAGATCGTTCTATAAGCAGTAACTATTTTATCTACCAAAATTCTAGTTCATACATTGCATATATAATGATATCATATAATATACAAATTATGCTTTTCAAGAAAGAAATTTGCATGTGTATTGCATGTGGTTGTTTCATTTTCTACAGATAATGAAACAAAATAGACATGCACATGAACTTTGTTAAGATGAGCTGATGTTCATTCAGACCACTCAATGTCTTCTGTCTACCTTCTTAAGTCTGCACACAGAATTGTCTCCAGACAGATGTGGTTTTCAGCAGCAGCCTATGAATGTCACTTGTGTATAGTGTCCTTCTCCTACAGGCCTGGCTCTAGTGGGTACTTAAACCCCAAAGCACTTTGTGATCACCTGTAAGCTGTTGTTATGTGTAAAGAAAGAGACATATTAAGCCCTGATCTGTGGATGTCTTCTTTTGATGTGTTGCAGGGTGCATTCACTTTCCATGGGAGCATGATAGACATGCCCTTGCTTAAGCAGGCACAGAACATCGTTACGCTTGCCAGAGCCATCAAGAACGAATGATGTGTTAAATGAAGCTCTCGCCAGGAGTCCGCTCCATACAGCACTTGTCTTCCATGCCAGGAGGGAGACTTGAGAAATGTGACCAGGGAGGCTTCAGTCTATTGATAACAGAATACTTACGCATTTATTTTCTGTACATGTATAGCATTCATTAAAATAAATGTCAAATCTAGTAGTTTTTTTTCTCCTTGCTTTCACCTCCCTAGCACTACCATTCATTAGTTTTCCCCTTATAAACATGTAAAAATGCCTTTAAGAGAGTGTGACAAGGGCTGAACTGCAATAAACTTGTAGAGTTATAAGGGTAACAAAGCAGGACAAGCTTCTGCTTCTAGGCTCTCCAGGAAGATTTACATGACACTGGAGATACTGCTACAGGTCATATGCTTCTTGTTGTTAACTGGCTTAGCAAAGCTGTTTTGGAGAGGTTAACCTAGCTTGTAGCAAGGGTAAATAAACATAACAACCAGCCATTGTCCCCTATTCAGCCTGTACTCTTATATTCAGGGCTAAAGGGTATTGAAGCTGCAGAGGATCAACTTGTGGTTGCCAAAGGACTCAAATGAAGTTTCAAACAGCAACAATCAGAGATTTTGTTTCTGTCCCTCATTAAATCATGAGCCTTTGTACCTCCAGCCACCAAGGACTGTTCTTTAAGAAATTAACAGAATGGAAAGTTTTAAACCATGCACCAACCTTTCTATGACCTACATAGAGGCAGTACTGCTGTCCTTACACACACTCCACAGGAAGGCTGTTCTGTTTATTTAAACATGTAAATAGAAACACAGTTTTAACCCTTCCTGAGAAGAATTCATCCTCCTTTATAGGTGCTGCTAGCAAAGGAATCCCACCTCTGACTACACTCAGGGTGTACAGTAAGTAGCTGGGGTATTTGGATGACCAGCTACACATTTTATGAGAGCTGGTTACATTTGTGCTGAACTTATTCCAACAATTCAGTGATCTGTGTCCTTACTATTTCAATGGCATTACCACATTTATACCATTACAGATTGTGTAATATGTAAAACATTTCATTTTTAACAGCAAATTGAGAGAGACATCCTAAGGTGTGAATGTGAGATCAGTGCTGGTTGGGCCTGGTAATTAGTGACTGGTCTCTCCAGATCAAGGATTACTTCAGGTCAAGGTTGACATGTCTAAGCTTTTCAAACTGTCAGCAAGTTTTTAGTTAGAGAAGACCTTCAGCTGACAGGTTCAATCATCATTGGATCTGTACATATTTATCCCCAGAGGCACGTGTGTATGGAAAGCGCTGTCTAACAGAAGGTAGCACTGGCAGGAATCAGTTACACATTGATATATAGAAAGATTGTTTATCATAGATTCTCATAACATGAAACGTATCCCTAAGTGTTTGGATTAGCTTAAAACTTCGAGTTTATTGGAATGGCTAAATTACTTTTATAAAACAGAATACTGTGATGAGCAAAAAGCATTCTTTTCTTTTATGGCCTCATGCACACTGGGCGCTTTTAAACGCTACTCCTAGGGACATCTGGAATTTTTTTTCTGCCTTTAAACGACGTGCCTAAATGCATTCACGTGTTTACAGGTGTCAAACATATTTTCTTCCTCAACACCATTGCCAGGAGGAAAGGCATCTAGGAGAGAGCAAAATGTCCAGTGTACATGAGGAAAAAAAATATATGTCATGGGCTTTCTGGACAAATTTAAAAAAAAATTACAAGAATTTATTGCACAAATAAAATATTTTGAAGCATAAGAGATAATCTCCCCTCTATACATTTGGATTGATTTTCCTTCCAATCATTTTGTCTAGTTTTGTTTTATAGATGCATTTTAAAATTTCCTGATATGACCATCTTTTTTTCTTTACTTGTCCCCCTGTGTTTACTGTCCTTATCATTCATACTTTACCATAATATTTCTGTATCCTATTTTTGTTGTAAATAAAAATGTAATTTTAAAAAATAGTGGAAAATATACTGTTATACAGACAGTTATATTATTTTCTGTAACATATAGCCTGCTTATTACAGCAAATCTATCACATCCCATACAACTGAGATACTGCAGAAATAGATTTTGTTTTTGTTTTTCTATGCTGTCTGTCTTTGCTTAGTCATCAGTGTTTTTTTATTTTATATACCAGTGCTTTTACAGACCATAGTGAACTGATGAGAAACATCCTGAGACTGTGTCAAGGTGGTAACTCCCAATGTTAATTCAACATTACTTCATAACAATATTATGACAATCTTTGCAAACTATGGGGGCTGATTTACTAACACTGGTACACTCAGAATCTGGTGCAGCTATGCATGTTAGCCAATCAGTTTCTAACTTCAGCTTGCTCAATTAACCACTTGAGCTCAGGAAATGGCCTTCATGACCAAGCCATATTTTGCTATTTAGCACTGAGCTATTTTAATTGGTAATTGTTTGGTCATGCAACACTGTGCCCAAAATACATTTATATCATTTTTTTCACATACATAGAGATTTTGGTGGTATTTGTTCACCACTGGGTTTTTTATTTTTTGTTATATAAATGAAAAAAAAAGACTCATATTTAAAAAAAAAATAAACATATTTTTTACTTTATGTTTTAAAACATATGCAATTGAAATAAAATCTAATTTCTTCATAAATTTAGGCCAAAATGTATTCTGCTACATGTCTTTGGTAAAACAAAATCCCAATAAGTGTATATCAATTGGTTTGTGTAGAGTCTATAGTTATAGAGTCTATAAACTATGGTATATATAATGGAATACTTACACAGTCACTGTACTAATGACACTGGTTGGGAAGGGGTTAACATCTAGGGGCAATCAAAGGGTTAACTGTGTGCTTAACAGTGTGTAATGTGTTCTACTTTTTACTAAATATCTGCTTTGTCAACACAGGGTTCTCAGCTGTGATTGGACACAGCCGATCAGCAGTTCTCAGCCATGAATCACTGGCTGGAACCTGTTGACAAAATGCCACTGTGTCTAATCACAGTGGCAGTTGGCCGGGGGGGGGGGGGCAAACACATACCCATACCCTGGAAGACACTGCCAATGTACAGGTACGTGATTGTGCCTCTATGAGCCGCCCATCCGCAGTAAAATGTGGGTGGGCAGGAAGTGGTTAAAGCAGAGCTACAGTCAAAGCTGAATAAAATAAAAGTCAGCAGCTCCACGGGGAGCAGGGGACCAGTACTTTAATCGTAAAGTCCCCTTTTGGGTGGAGCTCCGCTTTAAGCTTTGGCAATAAAACTTGGAAACTGACTGGTTTCTATGCAGAGCTGCACCAGATTTTGCAAGCTCCAGTTTTAGTAAATCCCCCCTATTTTTGAATAATAAACTGATGAATGCCTAAGGATGACAGGTTCCCTTATTGGTATGTAGTAAGACACCAGTATATGCATGGCACAGTTCCTTCAGCAGTATTGTGTGGGATTCCTTCCTTTCTCTACTTCTGTAAGAGCAGTCTTTGTTCAGCCTATGCTCATCTCGATTACACAGGATTGCAAGCAGATTATAGTCCTGTGCGCTGGACACTCCTGATTTGACTGAGAATAAATACATATGAAATCTGCTTGGAATAATCTTAAATTGACTTTTCCCAAATAATCCTCTCTTCCCACAGCCTGAATAGGAGCACACACTCTTATATAAGCAGTTGTCACTGATCCTCCATAGCACTGAAAGAGACAATTAACAGTGTATTAAATATTTTCACCGATTAGAACGAGAACACAGGAGGGACGTTCAGCGACTGATTACAGAGAGCTCATTCATCAACAGTTAATAGACAAAGCTCTACTTCTCAACCCTTGGCATTCATGTATACATAGCTTTTACCATGGTAAACACAGGTCTGGAGGTGATTTACTAAAAAAGGGTCTTTTACTTAACTTGCATTCATTCAGGTTTGCAAAAAATGTCTATTTTCCTAGTTCTTCTGAATTTGAGTTTTGAATTTGTAGTAAACACAGGATAGGAGAGGAATTGCAGCTTTTTTAAATTTGTCGGTGATGTCAAATAAAATTGTATGAATCTATCTTTCTATCTATGTAGGATTAGTTCCAGTATGTAGTGATGTGAATTCCAGTTGCAAGTCTTGTTTCTATGAGATGAGGCTACATCCTATTTCCATCCATCCATCATCAGTTTCTGTATGAAAGTTGATTCTGAAATGTCGCTTTGAGGTCTCTTATCTGTCTGTCTGTCTGTCTATTGACCAATCTATCTAGTCACAGCCTTGTCTCTATGAGGTCACCTCCCATGTGCTGACTGCATAGTTTAAGCTTACACAGCCCATCATCACTTTTGCGCACAACATGTTACTAAATCCCAGGTGACCAAATTACCGTTAACACTATTAAAACATTCTAATGAGAAACAATTACTTAGGAAATGAGCTGAGACATGATGGAGTGAGGCACACGGGGGCTGATCTTGTATATTGGTTTAATAAATCCTAGGTACATAACACTTTATCCTGTGTGTACACTGGAGAATTAAACTAAGCCTGTTTATGAGATGATTTTACATATATGTATTCTTTGATGATTCTCTATAGGACCCATATGGTGCAGTTTGTCGTACTGTCTAATGCAGTGCCGGGGGCTGCCAGTAATGTCTTAATTTATCTTGTGTGACACAATCTGTGTAGGACATTAGATCCTGCAGTAAAGTTGTGTGCTGGAGTAGCTTCAGCAATGTGTTTATCCTATCAGCAGTGTTTATGGGAATTCTAATGTTCCTTGTTCTCTTTCTCTAATTAGGACTGTTTCCTATAGGTGACTAAAGGACTCTTTTTAGGATTCTTCTGTCCCTCTATTTACAATTTACATTAGGAAGCTTTTTCCAGGTTTTGTCTTTTCAGCAGCTTTTCTGAAGGGACAATTGATGAAACAAAACAGATTATGAGATTAGCAGTGGGATTTTGTGCATATTAATGGTGGTGAAGCGCACCTAATGGGTCTGTAATTGCAGTTGAGGAGCACTAAAGTCATTCTA